CATAAACACTTCAGAACCAATTAAGGTTAATCACATGAAAATTAAATAATTGAGCAACACTATGGATACTAAATTCTTACAACTCTTGCGGCGGTGTAGAGTTCAACAATTATGAGAGTAGGTCTGATATGGTATGCAACATGCCTCATATGAGCGAGCATACAACTCTTTAATCATGTTAATTTTTTAGCAGGTGGTAAAGTGTGCATGGAAATGTTTTACAACAACTTTGAGCCCGTGTAAATTTTCTACATGAAATTATATAGAAGTCATATAATTAACTCATAAAAAGTGTAGCCCCAAATAAAATTACCCACACATGTAAGACCACACCAAACCCGCTTCCTGTCTTAGTCCTTTCACAACTGATTTTGTGTTGCTCAACTTGCTCAATCTTCGATCACTTTTTGATAGTTGGGTGTCAGTGAAGTGAATGTCGTATGCTAAGAGGGGAAATGTCAACATCTAGCACATACAAGAGCGGATCCGGTTCCCATTCCGATGAGATGCCAATATATTCCTTCCGTGAAATTCATAATTGAATTGATAAGATAAGAAACACTTGTCATTAATTGAAAGAAATTAATTCCCAATGAACTTCATAATTATGTTGTCATAGAGTTAAACCTGTGGAAAACTCGTCCACAATTTGTCTATAAAATGTTTTCACTCATGTCCCTTTTCGCAAATATACAATCAATGTTGATATGAGCACATCCGAGTACACCAACATGCGGGCACGACTTTTTTTTTTTGCACAATCTCAGTAGACTTTCTTATGCATGCTATCATGCGCATACAGGGTAGACGCACGACCCCATCATCAATTGTTTCACCTTTTTATCTCCACAAATGAATGTCTTGAGAAATCAAACCCTCTTCTAACACTAGTCTTCAATAAATGATCTCGTTTTTGCCTTGGATGATTAGCTATCAGTCTCCAAAGCCAGTGTCAGACTATTTTCAAAGATCAAAGTTAAAAACATCAAATGCTATAGAGAAATTCGGCGATTTCTTTCGCCCTGAGTACTTAGCTAACGATCTCTAAACCCGGTGTCAGGCTCTATTTTATGAGACAAAGCCAAAAACATCAAATGCTAGAGAGAAATTCGGCAAGCCGTGACTAACCGGAATTAAATTAGCACTACATGCCACAAATTGGACAAAGGAGTTACATAAAATATGTTCCAACTCACATAAAATACTTATTGAAATACATTATTATTAATGATCGAGTGCAAATTGTTAAAAAGCATTGAGATGGATCAAAATAAATGTTGACAACGCCCTCAACCAATGGTAAGGGAATTTGTCCGCTAGGCATGGTGGTTAGAGATGATAACAAATTTTTATAATCGCAAAGAGTAGCTCAATTGTTCGTTTAGTAGTGTGAGCATCAATGTAACACCGATACGGATACGCAAAAACGCGGAAAAGGTACATACGGCAAAACAAAAAGAAGTAGGATACAAATATGGGATATATATATAAATATTACAAGTTACGGGGTTGTATTTATATGGGAGGGTTCTAGTGAGAACTCCCTTTAAAATGAGAACTTGTTATCATGAGAACTTTTAATCACAACCTTTTACTTAATTCAATCATGGGTAGGATGCACATGGGGTACTTTGTGTAATTATTGAAAATTCAAATGAGGTCTTTTGTGTAATTATTATAGAGTTATTACAAAAATGCCACCTTATTAATTATATCCCTTGATTTCATAAATCAAGGGTGTTGATTAGAAGTTCTCATCTATAAACGAATTCTCATTTTAAAGGAAGTTCTCACTAGAACCCTCCCTATATTAATAAATATTAAAAATTATGGGGGTGTATTTATAAATATTAAAAATTACAAGTTTTTTTTGAAAATACATACATATATATCCTCTGACCTGTGCCCGTTCATGACATTGAAACATCTCATATTATGAAGATAGTTAGAAATAGAATCATTCTTTATCTTATCTACACTAATGCATCTCGAAATATCATTATATAGTCAATAAGTCATTAATATAAAATGAGAAATGAATCAAACAACCATTGTTTTGAAATTAAAAGTAAAAGTTCACAAAGTTTCGGATAATAGAGATATAAAACAATACTATAATAAAAAACTATAAGTTCTAATACATATTTCCACCGGAGCTGCTAATTTCCAGATATAACAATGTCTTACAAATAACAATGTCCAATTCTTGTTCATGTATGGAAAGGGTGGCGAACTCAAGTACCTCTATATCCAGTGGCGGATCTAGGCATCGGGACTCAGTGTATGCACATATTTAACATTAATAGTATACTACACGAGAATGAAAAAGTCTCAATAAAATACACAAAATTAGTTATTGATTTTCCCCTAATTACAAATATAAAATGAACAACATAGAAAAGTAAAACTACCCTAGCTGTTTAAATAATTAATTCATTATATGTGAAATACAATGAAGTATTATTGATTGAAGAATACAATACTTATAAGATTTTAATAATTTAGGAATGTGAATTGCAGCTCCAATCCTCTACTGCTAGTCTCCTACTTTGCTAGTGCACTGCAACTTCATACATAGCTAATAAATAAACAGATTGATTGTTAACAATAATAATTCGAACAATGATAAAAATAATTATTAACTACTAAAGATTTAATATTAACCAAATAAAAAACTTGAAATAATTTCAAATAAAGCTAAGAACTAAGGAATCTATTGCTAGAAGACACGCATGATGTTTTCTAAACAAGAAAGGGGAAGACTAGGGATTTCAAATGGGTCATGGGTGTAATTAAATTTTGATTGTAAAGGCCAGATATTAAATATCCTATACTACTAGGAATAGGGGCTGAGAGTTTCTCTCTCTATATCATCGGTTTTCCTAGGGCTTCTCAGCCGCTAGGGTTGTTTCGTCCGGTCTTGGCGTTTGCCGAGGATCACGAGTCGCACGATAAGTACGAAGACGGTCACCAGAAGGCTCTCTTCGATCGGTGGAAGGAAGAATCCGGATGGAAGATTTCGTTGCCTCGTACAAGAAACTTACGATGAACGAACAGGAGAACGAGTTGAATTTTGATGAAGACAAAGCGGAGGGCGCTGAGGAAGAGGCGGGGCCGACTGGTTTTCCGGCGGTGGGGGTTGTGATATCGGATCGAAAGATCAAGCTACCAGGGTTTCAGGAGTTGATGACCTCAATTTGGAAACCTGTTAAAGGTATGAGTATCAAGGAAATCGGCGACAAAAGGTACCTGTTAATTTTTAATCATGTTTTGGATATGAATCGTGTGATTGAGGAAGGCCCCTGGCTCTTTGAGCGTGATTTGGTATTACTAAAAGCTGTTCAGCCTGATGATATACCTGAATCAATGAATCTGTATGAGGCTAGTTTCTGGGTACAGGTTCATAATGCTCCTATAAAATATAGGAATTTGAGATCTGCTAGGAGAATTGGTAATTTTTGGGGGTCGTTTATAAAATTTGAGATGAGTCAATTCGATGGTAGACAAGCTTCTTATTTGCGGATTAGAGTTTCTTTGGATGTGCGTCAACCTTTGAAAAAAGGTACCAATCTGACACAGGATGGAGTCAAGCACTATGTTGATTTTAAGTATGAGAAACTACTCAGCTTTTGCTTCATCTGTGGCATGATTGGTCATTCTGATAAATTCTGCCCGTTGAAGTATGAAGAGGGGCTGAGAAGACATATGGAGTGGAGCTTTGAGCTGGAGGAAGGGTGAAGACCAGCCCTACAAGATTTTATAAATGGACATCTGCAGGAGCTTCTAGTTCAGAAGGGTATGGCGACCAATGGAAATCTGATTCTGGAGGGGAGTACTCGGCTGAATCCAGGGGCATGAAACCAACAGTGTTTGAGAATAATGTAGAGGAAGAGGCGCCTGGGGAGCTTTAGCGTAGAAGGACATGGGATGTTCAACCTGGGGAAGGTGCTTCTGGTGAAGATATGGTCATGGATGGGGCAAAAAACGGAGCGGAGGCGGGTCTGGTTCCCTAGACCCGCCGTGGCTGCAGTGGAGGGCTGTGGGAAAGAAGACTTGTTTTGGCATCTTTATTTTCTTCTGTTTTGATTTTCTTTATCCGAATTATTCTGTTATCTTTTTCTGTTATGTGTTTTTTTCCATGTAAGACTTTTGCATTAAGGTTGGGAGAGAAAGAGGCTGCGGTAACCATCATTAGCTCTTTGATGTCCAAAATTGGTCTAGCGAGTTATACTGCTTTTGCATAGGTGGTTAGCTCTCAGCCTCGGCCACGGGCAGATGGTTATTTGTGGTTTTTTTCTAGTCTTATCCTCTTGCCGAATCCTATTTTTATGAATTAAGCCTTCTTCGAGCAAAAAAAAAAATCTTATACTACTCACGCTCCGGTCCAACACGGAAACAAAGAGAAGAAACTAAAAAATAAAAAGCCCATCCGGAGAAGTGCTACCCAAATAAACAAAATCCAGGTGAAGCATAGTGGAGAATCGATCCCACAACCTGAAAAGTAAGGAGGAATTAAGTTTTAGGCTAATATCACTTAAGCTAGTAGTACTTTTTGAGGTGAAGTCAATGCTTACACTCCTTATACTATATGTCCGCCCCTGTCTATATCATGCATGCCCTTAAGGTCATCTCCTATAACATCTCACATTTTATTTGTCATTCATATACTTAGTTGTGTGCAACATTAAAGCAACCTAAAATACATTTTTAGTGTTTAGTTTTTAAGAATTTTATTATGCTTGTTTTGTTTGTATTTTTATGATTTTTTTTAAACTAAAAAAGTTAAAACGTGTGTTAGTGAGAATATGGGTATCCAAAATTCTAAAAAAAGTTATCTTGGAGCTTGTAACAAATTACAGATACAAAAGTTGGTGTATTTTGGGCCTTAAAATCGTTTCTCCAAGTCAAATAAAAAATTCGAAATACTGAAATTATTTGCGAGGTGGATGTCTTCGGCTATAGAACTTTCCAGAAATGCTCAGACGCGGACCAGAACCCGGTGCAGATCAGAATCCAGAACGTGCTAGAAACTACTGCTCAACTCCCTTCCCGATTCTTCTCTTCCAGTATAAATCCCTATCATCATCCCCTAAACGCAGCCATCACAACATATTCTCTCTTCAATTAAATTGTCAGTAATTTTCACACACTCGCGCAGAAAATGGATCTCAGGCTAATTGGTCTCGATCACCCGCTTCTCAACCCCCTCCACCACATAATGGAATACGCCGCCGGTGACGACAAATCTTCCAATGGCAGCGCCCCTTCGAAGACGTTCGTTCTCGACGCCAAGGCAATGGCGGCGACTCCGGCGGACGTGAAGGAGTATCCGAACTCGTACGTCTTCATCATCGACATGCCGGGGCTGAAGTCCGGTGACATCAAGGTGCAGATCGAAGATGACAACGTTTTGACTATAAGCGGGGAGCGGAAGCGAGAGGCGGACGAGAAGGAGGGAACGAAGTATGTGAGAATGGAGAGGAGGGTCGGCAAGTTCATGAGGAAGTTCGCGCTGCCGGAAAATGCGAATCCGGAAAAGATATCGGCGGTCTGTCAGGACGGAGTGCTGACTGTGACGGTGGAGAAGTTGCCGCCACCGGAGCCGAAGAAGCCGAGGACAATTGAGGTCAAAATTGCTTGAATCAGTCGCAATTTGGATCTTGACCCGATCCATCATAAATCATTAGTGCCTTTGTTGGGCTGGGTTATTGCGTGTATTCTACTGCTTATTACTACGTATGTTTCAATTTTGGGTTATTAAAATGGATGGTTGGGCTTCAAGCTTTCCTTTTTTCAATGTTGCGTGTGTCCTTTTCAATTCAATGGCAACAATTTCATATTCCCCATGAATTAATTATCTTCCATTTTCTGAGCTAATTTTATTGTACTCAGTAATGGAATTCACACTGAGTGGAGTGTTATTTTATTTAATAACTACACGCCAAGCCAATATTGTTTGTGATAAATAAATTTGATATCTAAACTTAGAATATTTTGAAATTCTAAGTAAATGATATCTAAACTACACGCCAAGCCAATATTGTATTTTGAAATTCAAGGTAGTCTACAAGATGTGATAGAATATTTATGTATACAGACAAAAATACACAAAATTCATTATTTACAAAATTCATTAATAGATTCGACAGAAATTCAAATTAACTTTAAATATAAAATTTTAATTATTTGTTGTAATGTATGTCATAATGTCAATCTTATTTATTTCTAGATCTGTATAATCTGATTCAATTCAAGACTAATCCATCCAAGTAGATACATCTGAAATTCTGAATACTATGCTCAATATAAATTGGATACTTTTTTAATTCCATAGTGGCGTTTTGTTTCAATGATTTTCGTGAACAATAATCATAAAGTTTTGCGTTGGGTCTGCCTCAACATCTTATGAGGAATTCATATTCTTTCCTCTAAAAAATGAAGAATAAACAACAGAATGAGTATGATGATATGATCTAATTTACTGATGAAGATGAAGACACCATTTGTGAAATAGGTCCTGATTGCAATATAGGCCAACATATACCTCTAGAATGTTTTTTAGAATAGAACAACTACATTTTCTTTAGAATAGAGTATTCAAATAAATACATTCAAGTAGTAAAATAAAACCGAAAGAAAGTACAAGCACTAATGAGGGTTGAGGGATATAATCAAATGATTAAACAAAGTTAACACTGCTGATGGAATAGAATTATAGAGCTAACCCGAAGTGAAAAAGATTCCTAATCGCCCAAGAGAATCTCCAAACAAACTGCGTCTTGAAGTCTAAAATATCATCCGTGCACTCAAAAGAAACAAATATCCAAAAGCTCAGAAATATTTTAACTTTAAAGATAATTAAGACATTCCTAATTTCATAGATTTTTTTTTTGCTTTAAGACGGGCACTCCAAGGTAGCTAAAAGTGCATCGCGGGAAAGTCTCCCATCATAAATGGTGAGCAATTGTCAAACATTTTTTTTTGGGTACAACGGAAATAAAAAAAACAAAACGGGAAATAACAAAAGCTACAGTCTAATAATTTCGAGTCCATTTTTTGTCCTCCCAAAGAAGGCGAGCTAGCTCTTTCCGTGCCTCTTCAAGGATAGTCATTCCTTTGGGATAAGAGTAAGCCATGTTTGCTAAAAAAATCAACGCATTTGTTACCCTCTCGTAGAAAATGATGTATGCCCATGATACGGGTTGGATTAAGGAGATAGCGGCAGTCTTCAATGAGAGGGGTTGTATGCCCATGAGTCGTAAAAAAATTACGACTTCGGATAACTCATCCAACATCTCTTGTATCACTGGAATCAGATACTTATCTGGAAGAGTCACTTTATTCGATTCCCGATAGTCCACACAAAATTGCCAACTGTCATTTTTCTTTTTAACTAAGAGAATTGCTTGAGAGCGGGCTGGAGCTTGGCCTAATGATGCTTGCCATCGACATGTCTGACACAAGGTTTTCAATTTCATCTTTCTGGCTATGTCCATACCTATATGGCCGGACAAATACTGGGCCCGTTCATGGGGCTAACTCAATCCGGTGGTCTGTAGATCATTGCGGGAAGGTCCAGCGGCTCTCCAAATACTTCCTCAAACTCCCGCAAGACACACTACAACAAATTTGACTTTTTGTAACACTTTGTTTGTAACATTTTTATTTTTGTTGCATATGACATTTAAAGTTAAAATATTGCAACACATATTTTTAACTGTTGCCAAAACATCAACGTGATATCATTGTGCAACACTTACTCTAAAGTGTTACATATTATTAAGGGTATGTTTGGTTCAAGGAATGTCAGATAACCATAGGAATGTTAGATTACTGGGTATGTCAGATAGATGGGAATGTGATTAATGTATAGCCTATTTGTGTTTGGTTACGATTAAGGAATGTCACATTAAGTTGTTTGGTTGAATGATATCTTTTATTGCATATTTGGTGAATTACTTGAATGTCCTTTATATATTTGTCTCTTAACACATTAAACTTATCAATTATTAGAAAATGTATTTCATGTTTTAATTTTTTTTCTCAATTTTCAATTGTAGTTCATGTTTCAAATAAATATACTTTAAGTTTTTATATGTAGCACTTCTTGAATTAATTTTTAGACATGAATTAGAAAAATGTACCCGGCCCGACCCGTTACCCGGGCGGGTAGACCGCCCCGAACCGGTACTGGTCAACAGCCGTTCCGGTCCCGGGCTTCATTCCCAAAAAGCCAAGCCCATCCGGGCCCGACCCGGAATCGGACTGGGCTCGGTCCACGACTAGATATTTCGATTAATGAAGCATAGGTTTTTTTTGGAAGAAAATTAATAAGCCATCAGGAATCTTACATAACCTAAGGCATTGGTGGGTTTGACATGCCTGGTAATGTGATCACCTTTTCCACTTTTGGGAATGTAACATTCCCAAATGAAAAAATCAAACCCGCGAACCAAACACAGGTATCTCACATTCCAGGCATGAGATTCCGCCATGCATAAGATATCACCTTGAACCAAACCCACCAATGCCTTAGGTTATGTAAGATTCCTGATGGCTTATTAATTTTCTTCCAAAAAAAACCTATGCTTCATTAATCGAAATATCTAGACGTGGACCGAGCCCAGTCCGATTCCGGGTCGGGCCCGGATGGGCTTGGCTTTTTGGGAATGAAGCCCGGGACCGGAACGGCTGTTGACCAGTACCGGTTCGGGGCGGTCTACCCGCCCGGGTAACGGGTCGGGCCGGGTACATTTTTCTAATTCATGTCTAAAAATTAATTCAAGAAGTAGTGCTACATATAAAAACTTAAAGTATATTTATTTGAAACATGAACTACAATTGAAAATTGAGAAAAAAAATTAAAACATGAAATACATTTTCTAATAATTGATAAGTTTAATGTGTTAAGAGACAAATATATAAAGGACATTCAAGTAATTCACCAAATATGCAATAAAAGATATCATTCAACCAAACAACTTAATGTGACATTCCTTAATCGTAACCAAACACAAATAGGCTATACATTAATCACATTCCCATCTATCTAACATACCCAGTAATCTAACATTCACATGGTAATCTGACATTCCTTGAACCAAACATACCCTAAGAGTTATGCAACATTTACGTTTCAAGTGTTGCTTGAAAAATAGATATTATTATAAATTACGTAGTATGGTACTATGGTGTATGTTTTTGCGGTATTGGTGACCAAATTTCTAATTTGTTAGATGACACATAAAATTTTATTTGTTTAAATTAATTACAAATACACGAAGTTATCAATCTTTAGAATATTTAATTGGATTAATTAAAATTTCTAGTGTGGTTAGTTTTAGTGTTGTCTAGTCTGATCTGAATTAGTCTATCAGTATTATATGATCTGGTTAGAGACTAAGAGCCTGTTTGGTAATACTAAAATTGAATGAATCGGTTGATTCTGCGGATATTTATGAAGTTCCGGCTGAAGTGACTGGATTTGCTGATTTTGTTAATTTTTGAAAAAACTAAATTTAAAGTATTTTTTATTAATACAATAAAGAAAAAATTATATAAAATTGATTAAAACAGTCATGTATAGTAACTTGAGCTAATGGAGCCAAAAAGTAACATCAACCTTACTTATTTTGATTATTACATAATTTAACATGCGAAATAAAAAATTACGCATTTGATTAAGAAATTGACTAATAAAATTGATAATCCGAAAAACTTGTTGTTTCTAAAACTATTTCAATTAAAAACATTTTTTGTACTAAAATTTTGGCATAAAAGATGAGATCTCTTTTTAATATCCTGAAAAATGAGACCTTTTTAGTTCACTAATTTAGCACATAAATACACTTGCTTTTACAGAACCTCGGGAGTCAAGGGCCAAAACAGATATGAAAAATTGAAACCGCTCCTTCACCTTCGGCCGCCGCTCACCTTCACCTTCGGCCGCCTCTCACCTTCACCTTCGGCCGCCGCTCACCTTCGACCGCCGCTTCTTCTCCGTCAAATGCTTCTCCCGCGTCACCAGCCGCCGAAATTCGATCTTGCACCGGCAGCACCGCTGCTCTCCGTCCATATTTAGGTAAAAGATGATTTAAGCTTTAATTTTTTATGATTTTAATATTTTGAGTCCGAGTTTGTAGAGCTTTTTATCCAAGATTTGCTTTATATTTTTCAATTTGATTTTAGGGTTTGAAAATTACCAATCTATTAACCTAACTCCTAAGTAAAAGTCCTTGTTCGGTAAAAGTTCCATTTTGTGCAATATATATCATATTAAAGTGGTTTTTAATTCAAAGTTTGATTTTAGCATTTGTTTGATTAGAGCTAATTTGATTGCTTTATGTGTGAGATGAACCGTGACAAGGTTTTTGTCTGATTGTTTCTGTTTAGGAATGCGTATAAGATGTTTGGTAGAATGTCTATGTGACATATTTTTTCAACTGATGTATTGATCTGTAATAATCATTGAATAACTCAAAGAGCACCACTTAGTGATGTATTTTTGGTTAACTGCATATTATTACAGCTAGTATAAGTGGACTCCAAAAAAACATTAATTATGTTCAATCATTTGTTTCTTTTGAAAGGGTCTTACACGATTTATCTTGGAAAAGCTATAAAGGTTTGGTCTTGGGAGATTGTTTGAGAATTTTAATACACGAGAATCTAACTGACATACTTAACCTTAGATCCCTTTTCTATGTTTATAATCTACCTATATGCATGTTTCTCATGCATAACTGGCTGCACCATGATTCTGAATCACTTTCGTGATGGTATCTTTGTCAATCACTATAATATAAAGTCAAAGGTATCTTTTAATTAAGTATTTACGGTCTTGCTTTTCCCATATTGTTTGTTAATATTCTACATGATTGTTTTGACAATGTACAGGACACCTTCTTCATCTGGTAGCCTCTTCATCCAGTATTCATTCGATGGGCTTACACATCGTAAAACATCATCAATCACATGTAATTGTACCACCTGAGATCAAGTAAGTCCATGATTGTTGTATATTTATATATGGTAGATCCTTATTGGTTGTACCAAGTCGTTTCCACCATGTTTTCGATTTTCTGGACTTTATTTTAATCATCCTCCATTTGTTGAAGTTATAGATTTTTTTTTTTAAGTCATTAGATTACAACTTTTGCTTAATTATGTCTTAGTTTTGTAAGTGAGGTAAGTCTTTGAATTGGAAACTAAGGCTTGGTGGTGGTGTAAATATATGATGAATAATTGTTACACCCATAAGAAAAGAGCATATTTAACCTGACAAACAACGTTTTATATTTGGCATACTAAAAAAATATAAGCCATAAATGATACTTGCGGACTATATTTTCTCTCATTTTATTAATTAAACTTGCAGTCTACTCCTTTGGACAAAATGGAGCATATTTGACCTGAGGTACAACTTGCAGTCTATTCCAGTGCATTTTGAACTAATATATGAAGTAACAAAATATGTGGATTGGACTGTCATCTTTTACTGCACTTTGCTCTCAGTCTGATCAGTAGTTTTACCTATTACATTAAGGAATATATTAAGAGGCTTAGTAGTAAATTTGGGAAAACCATTTCAAAAAATTTAAGATTTGCTAAACGTGGTTAATATCTGATCAATCTAATTTTGCATTTGTGATTGATATCTACTGCACAGATTAATGTTGTGGGAGCTTCTCTGAAGTAGGAAACAATAGCATACATAGTTTGTAACCAATCATCATGATATGCATATGGCATTTTGAGCAGCTGCAGTGCGCCTCTTGAGCAATTTGGTCTGTCCGTTTGATTGGTTAGTTGCTTCCAAGGTCCAACACAAGGATTTTCCTTCATGACTCTATCCCCATAACACCATCTGTGCATACTTTAGTACAAGAGCCATGGATGGATATTCTGACTACACGTTCAATTCCGTCAACGTACATGGACAGGTTGAAGACATTTTGATCGTGATAGAAGACAAAGTGACAATATCAGTTAATAGGCTGCAAGTATTAGTTAGCGTTACTAACTAGACAGTCACTTATGGAGTTATGGTGTTAATGAATACTCTGTATAGTATTAAAAAGTCTGTTATGTATGTCTCAGATATTTGAATATTTGCAGTGTTAATATTTCTGTGTGTTTATTTTATATTTATTACGAGTTTTAATATTTTTGTGCTTATGTTATTATTATGTACGTGTTAAGAAGAAATGTAAAAGTTGAACTCGATCAGTCACCTAAAATTAGTACAAAATATGAAACGTATAATTATATAAATGCTACATAATCTTAAAAAACCTTGTTACATAAAACCTCGATATAAGTGTTGCATATATTAACTCAAATGTTGCAAAAAGATTTAATTAATATGTTACATAAATATAATAAAAGTGTTGCCCAAAATTGAGTTATAAGCGTTGCGTTTTACTCAAAAAAGTGTTGCGTAACATGTTAGTTAAAGTGTTACAAAATAGTGTTGCATTTGAGGTACTTATGCAACACTTCTGTTAAATGTTGCTTAATATGATGATAAGTGTTGCATATAGCCTTATGCAACGAGACCTGATGTAGCACCCATCAAAGTGTTGCTTTAGCTTTTTTGTAACACTTTAGCTATGTAATGCAACATTTTTCAAGTGTTACAAAATGTCTATTTTGTTGTAGTGACATCAGCCACTTGCTCTTCATTTGGATCCAATAAAGTAGTGGCCTCACTTTCCATCACAATCGCCCAAAATTCCACATCCCTTGCTCGAAGTAGGGCCGACAATCCCACTTGTTTCCGACATCGTGCTGGATCCCCTTTCAATCTTACAGGACTGCCCCGCTAATCAAATGACATAGTCAATGTTTCCCAGTTGGTCCGGACCTCTCCCAAGGATGCTAGCCATGTTATTCCCAGTATAACATCCACTCGTGTTAATGGAAACATGTAACAATATGTCCCTACTTTGCACCCTCGCAGCGAGATCGACACCCCTTTAAAAATCCCTTCTGATTCTCGGCGTCAACTGTCCCCTAATTTTTGGAGCGCATTGTCGCCCTGATGTCTCGTTGATCTGCCTCTATCATATCGATGCATTGATCAATGGTAGAACGAGTCATGGTGAGCAGTAGGGTGGTGGATAGGAATCCGGCTGGTCGGACCAAATTGATAGAAGCAGAAACCATAGCAGACGATATTAACGTCTGTCCCAGCCTGAGGTTCAACTGTTTATTAGAGATAACAATTGAAAAAAATAAAGTAATAAAACCCAGTAGTCAACCAAGCCCATCTAGGCCCGCTGGCGGTGACAGTAAACCAATAACGGGCAAGGCCCATCCTTCTGAAGTAGCGACCCAGTTGCCTCCTCCTGGATCATCGGCCCAACTGCCTCCTGCTCTCTAACATAAGACCTGAAGTATCATATGCTTTGATTTATTTATTTATTTATTTTATTAACTTTATTGTTCATTTTTTATGATATTTTCGCAAAAGTTTATTAGTTTAATACTTCATCTATTCTTTTTTAGTTGCAAAGGTCTACATTTCAACGCACTATTTTGAGCATTAATTAGTATCGTTTATTCTTTACTAGTACAAAAAAATAAAAAATCAGATTTCGAAGATTTAAAATGAACGGAATTTAACTATATTTTTCAAAAAATTAATTTATAATATACATTAATAAATAAAATGTTGTCAAAGTAGAATATGTTAATAGTGCAAACTCTTCAATGGTCCTTGAACTATCATCACCATATCATTTTGGTTCTCGAACTATTAAATCTATCATTTTAGTCCTTAATCTATTCAATCTATATCAATCGAGTCCTTCCGTTAAATTTTGCCGTTATCTTTGACGGTAAGTAATTAGTTTATTACTTACATACAATCATCTCATAATGTTAGACATTTTAGAACAATACAATCATTCTTAAAATTTAAGTAGCTAACCTAGTTTTTTTAAACACACACACACACACACCCACACACACACACACACAGAATAAAGATCAAATGAGAACAGTGCTTAACGTGAGAACACCACATTTACCCCAACGTGTTGCACAATGAAGCTTGTATACTGCACTTTTTGGCGTTTTCACAATATTTACCAAAATGCCACCGTGTTTGTTTAATATAGGCTTAATTCGAGCAAATTGCAAATGTGCAACAGAACGCTCCTTTGTGCACTAAATTGATCTAAATGTGAGTGTTCTCACGTTCTCACGTTAAGCATCATTCTCATTGGAACTGCACCCTATGCACACACACATACACGTATCAAAATTATAAATAATTAATTAAATATGTAATATAAAACCAAATGTATGACTTATAAGCCCTCTGTCCCGCTAAGATTGTCTCATCTTTCATTTTGATCTGTCCCACTATAATTGTCTCATACCAAATTTGGTATAATTTGTGTGGTTCTTTATTATTCCTAATCTATGGAGATGACATCGGCGCATGGGGGCGACCGCGGCGACGGGGGAGGCATGTGCTGCGGAGATTGGGGCAGCAGGTGCCGCAACAACGGGAATGACACGTGCCGCGGCGACGGCTAATGGCTATAGTTTTTAGAAAATGGAAAATCACATATGGTCCCCCAGTTATCCACGAAATTAAAATCTGAGACCAGTATTTCTAAGATTGTAAATGTCACCCTCAATTGTCCAAATTGTTGCAAATGTGGTCCTTTAAGTAGTGAAATGTACTCTCGTCCACATTGTATATTTCACCACTCAAAAGGATCACATTTACAGCACTTTGGACAATTGAGGGGTGACATTTACAATCTAAAAAGTACGGGTTTGAGATTTTAATATCGTGGATAACTGAGAGACTATATATGCGATTTTCCCTTTAGAAAATGAGCAGAAAGCTAGAGTTTTATAATATTAATCGAAGGGCATATTATGACAAAAAGAAATGTAAGGGCAAATTAGTCCATAAAAATATTTATTTATTTATTAGATTGTCATATTTAACGTCTTTATATTGAGAAGCTTCCAGACAAGTTTAGAAAGGAATCGCGTGAAGCATTTCGCGAACCTAGAGCCTGCTAGAACTCATATCCCTTCTTCGATTTTTCCAGGACCATCTCTTCCTCCGCATAAAGATCTAACGTCTTCGTCGCAATTCAGTCATCACAATTCACAAAAAAACAAATCTCTCTTCGAAAACTCTATCTGAAACGCTACTGCAGAAATTTTGACAAAATGGATCTCAGGATGATGGGCTTTGATCACCCGCTTTTCCACCACATAATGGAGTACGCCACCGCCGCGGACGACAAATCCTCCAATAGCAACGCCCCTTCGAAGACCTTCGTTCTCGACGCGAAGGCAATGGCGGCGACACCGGCGGACGTGAAGGAGTATCCGAACTCGTACGTCTTCATCATCGATATGCCGGGGCTGAAGTCCGGTGACATCAAGGTACAGATCGAGGATGAGAATGTCCTGACTATAAGCGGGGAGCGGAAGCGTGAGGCGGATGAGAAGGAGGGCGTGAAGTATTTGAGAATGGAGCGGCGGGTGGGCAAGTTCATGAGGAAGTTCGTGCTGCCGGAAAATGCGGATCTGGGGAAGATAACCGCCGTCTGCCACGACGGAGTGCTGAGTGTGACCGTGGAGAAGGTGCCGCCGCCGGAGCCAAAGAAGCCAAGGAGCATTGAGGTCAAAGTTGCTTAAAATTAATATGTAGACCAGGCACGGTACTGTGACCACTCTGTTTCTCTTGTAGGAACAGAGCATTTGATGATGTTTCTTTCCTTTTTTTGGATATGATGATAATGGGAATGTTGAGTTCGTGATGTGAATGTTCTATGGAGTTTCTTTTTCGATTTAAATTTTAATTACGTTTTTTATATTTTAAATCACATTAATAATATTTGTCTTAAATTGAAAAAAGAAGACTGGACATACGGAGTAATAGTTTTTTTGAAGGACGGAGTAATAGTTTTTGTCTTACTTGGTAATACAACGCATTAATAAAAGTGCTAATGAGCTGAGCCGAATGGTTTTGGCCCAATTCGGTAATATAGGTTCGAGCTCGAAGTTTATCCCATTTTACAAATGAGACTCGTGTTTGATTGGATAAGCTTGATAAATATACTTGAACTTTAAATTGTAGGTGACGTTCATTAATAAGTCTCTGCTCAAATTATTCAACATATATTCATATGTTATTAACCATATTTAAATCAGAAATTCATGCTAATTATGTTTTAATCTTTATACATGTATAAATTATAAATTATTATACTTATAATTTCAGGTTGTTTGGTAAATTGGAGCTCGAACCACGCCGAATAAATTTGTTCAAACTTAAAACTGAGTTCGGGTTTGAATTTCAAAGATCGCTAAACTCGACTCGTTACGATCGAAATCGACCATGAAATTGAATACTGTGACAAAGCTCAGTTCGTATAGGCCTAGTCTGAACACGGAATTGCACTCTCCTTTGTGTAAAATCATCCACAAAACTGAATCGCCTTACTTTAGGGATGCAAAAAACCTCTCCGAATGTCCAAGGCTTTGAGTCAATGAAGCAATTGCTCCAATACTTCTTGTTCAAAACCGTTGGCCAAAAGTTAATAAGTAGAACTATGTTTACCTATTCGGAAAGAATTATACATGGAACTAGTGATTTTATGAGATTTGGCTATTGTATTTTCCTCGACAATAATCTCTTTTTTTGTTGTCTAAACGAGTAAATGCCTACCTACACTTTCCTGCTCTAATATTACATTGGTCTAATACTCGAGCAAATGTCTAAACGAGTAAATGCAAAGCTTGAATACTACGAAGTCGCCAATGTAGTTGGTGAAACATATTGGGTATACAATCTCCTTTCTCAGCTTCATTGGTCTTAACATATGTCTCCATAGGGCATTGTGATAATATAAATACGGTATATGTCTGACAATCCCGGTCAACATCAACACACTAATCATACTGAAATGAACATCCAATATTTTCGGGAGAATGTTGCTCACGACGAATTTCGTGTACTCCATGTTTCGTCTCGTCATTAGTTTTGAGTAGTGCTGGACTCGGGCTGGGCGGCCCGAACCGGAACCGGCCCGGCCCGGTGGCTCGGTCCACCGGCGGTTCGGGTCGAACCGGCCCGATGGATACCGGTTCCGGGCCCGGGCCCTCCATTTGGTGAACCGGCCCGGCCGGTTCGGGCCCGGTCCGGGCCGGAATAATTTTTTTTTTTTGAATATTTTTTTTGGGTTGGATTAGGTATTTTGGGCCATTTGAGGTGGTTTGGGGTGGTTTGGGCCATTTGAGGTGGTTTGGGGTGGTTTGGGCCATTTGAGGTGGTTGAGGGGGAGGGGTTAAATAAGAGAAGCCAAAAATCAAAAATAAAAAAAAATGGGGCGGGTGAACCGGCCCGGTCTGGCCCGGAACCGGCCCGGAACCGGTCACCGCCGGTTCGGGCCCGGGCCCTCCTTTTGGTGAACCGAGGCCCGGCCGGTTCAAGGCCCGAACAGGGCTCGACCCGAACCGGGCTCGACCCGAACCAAGTCCAGCCCTAGTTTTGAGATGTCTATAGTGAGGGTTTGCGGCCTTTTTTATTTGATGGTTTCCGTACCAGTCTCATCGTTCTACCTCCTTCTGCTTCTATTTAGGGGCGTAATACCACACATATACTTTTCCATATGTTCACAAGTAGAATTTATATGCATCCATGTAGCACTTATGCATGTGATCAGTGGCGGAGCCAGAAATACGGTCCAGGGGGGTCGAGAATCAATTTTATACAAAATGAAAACGGTGGATCGTTTCCAAACAATGTCCGAGTTGAATATTTTATATGTAGTTTAGATAAATAGGCACTCGTAACAATAAAAGAGACTGTTTTTGCTCTATTTTTGAGTCATGTCACGTAAGTAATGAGTTAATTATACGCTATTTTTAAAATTTGGGGGAAAAAATCAATATTACTCATCAAATTTTGCTGATTTTACGTTTAGATAGTGCTGATTTTGCAGAAGTCATAACTTTTTACTCGTAATGAGTTACGGGGGCCATAATATATCAAATCGAAGATATTTCAGAGCTCTATGCTCTCAAACTTTCAGCGGGGTCGACTGACCCCCCGACCCCCCCTTGGCTCCGCCCCTGCATGTGATACAAGCTGCAACCACCTGAACATAGTTCTCCTCACTTTGTTCTTTATTTATGAGATTTCCTATTCCTATTGATATTATCGGCACTAAATATAACTTGGCTGTTTTTTTAAATCAAATAACCATTTTATTGATAATCAGTTCTTAACAAGAAACATAACAACTAAAAGCCGAAGCATTACAATCATAACATTCAATACTACACTAGGGTGAGACAAAGAACAAAAACGCCATATAAAAGCACTCATGTTCGCTAACCCTGCAATAATGTAGACTCGTACCGCATTGTGTCTGTTCATGCTACTCAAAATGGGTTCGGCTTGACCAGCCGCTGAAAAGGAATTATTGAACTTGCCGGTTTTTCCAGCCACCAGTAAGGAGTCAAGTGCAGAAATTATTCCGGTTTGACCAGCCACCGGAAAGAAAGCAATCCATCCAATGTCATCTTCTTGGATCGGCGGTGGTTCAGGAGGGGGGCGATCAGCCTCTATATCAATGCAGAAGAAATCCTGATTCATAATTGATAAAGAAGCCAATACAAACCTCTTACTAGCACACAACAACACCCGACCGATGATGGCGGGGAATATAGACCTGGCAAGCGACACTTCGCCCCCAAAAATAATATCTCTAGACAACGTTAGAAAATAAACCTATAGATAAAACTGAAAATACTGATCAAACGAATCTTTTTCCATGATTGAAGTTAAAAGAAGAGAAGAAAAGAATGAAGGAAGAGGAGGCGGCGGCTAGGTTTACCTTTGCCGCTCCTCTCTCCCCTCGTTAGAGATCTTTACTTGGTACTCCTTATCAATATAACTGGCTGTTTTTTTACAACATATAACTAGCGGTTAGACATTTGAATTGCAAAATAACTCATAGCTTGTATTGTTAATTGAACTTTGAAGCACATCGCAGGTGAAGACTCAAAAAATGGCAAATTTTCTTGAAAGTGTGAATAACTCAAAATGTTGGATTTATGATCAATTACTCTCTTTGTCCCATGAAACTTTATGAAACTTGGTCAATTTTTTTGACCGCCCTAAAGAACTTTGTCATTTTCATTTAAAGTAAGGAATATGTGATTAAAATTATTTCTCTCTTCTCTGCACAAATTTCAACCACATGTATACTTTTACTTTATTAATCTATGTGCAAGTCAACTTGAGTCAAGTTTAGTAGGACAGATGGAGTATGAGTCCGGAATATTTAGAATGGGGGGTGTATGATAAAATAGCATTTTACAATGCTTTTCAAATATACCGAGTACGTTTTAGTTTTTAGTACAAATGAAACGACCAAATAAAAAGGATTCTATGATATAAAAAAGGGAGAACTATTAATTTGATCCTCGAACTTTTATGAAAAAGTCAATTAGATCCTCATACTTTTAAAAAAATCAACTAAATCCCCGAACTTTGTAAAAACGTTCAATAAATTACAGTTGCAGGTTACTTGTCATGTCAACATGTCACTTGTTGACGTGGCACACACATGTCGATCCACGTGTGCGTCACGTCATCAGCAAATGGCTGACTGGACTTCCACACGTGTGCCACGTCAGCAAAAATATTGTTGAATTAGTCGGACTGCGCTGCAAGCAGATTCTGCACCTTTCTTTCTATACGATCACTTCTCGTTCCCAATATTTTGATATTCAGTACACATTTTCAACGTTTCTTATGATCAAACTACTCCGTCGTATTTACGGAGTATTAATGTATTATACTTTTCTTATACTCAATACTCCGTATATATCATCTTTTACTGTTATTTTTTTTTTGAGATTACGGAGTATTATTCTGTTAATATTACGGAATATTATGATAATATTACGGAGTATTTTATTGTCATCATTACTGTATGCATGATGCCTTCCAGTGAGTATATAAACCCGACGCGATCACCATGTGTTCGGATTTTCAAATTCTTACGCCTTTCTTCATTCATTCGGTGCGAACCATTGTTCTGTTTGGGGTTCCGAATCAATTCTCCAATCTTGAATATTCTCAAGATTACAAGGTACCATTTACGAGAGAAAACCCTGACTTCTCTCAGTTTTTCGTCATTTCTTTTACTTGTAATCATACATGGGTGTAGGGGTGGGTTCGTAGAACCGAAAACCGAAAACCGAATCGAATCAAATCAAACCGCGACCAAATAAACCGAACCGATGAAAAACCGAAACCGAACATAAGAAACCGAACCGAACCAAACATGTTTGGTTTCGATTTCGGTTTTGACTCCTCAAAACCGAACCGAACCGAAAAAACCGAAATATTTAAAAATATAAAAAAATCATTTATTTTATATGGAGTATATGGTCAACGCTCAAGACCGAAAGCGTAAGAGGCTTTTTACGAGTCCAGTACTCCATACTCTTTTAACCTAAAATGTAAGAGGCTTAGCTCTCGAAAAAGGAGCCGCCGTCGAAGACATGGTAGATCGATTCAAGATACAACAACAACAACAACAACAACAACAACAACAACAACAACAACATCCAAGCCTTAGTCTCAAATGAAATTGAGGTCGGCTAACATGAATCGATACATGATATAACCACCAAAAGAAAAAGAAAGAAAATGAAGATTAAAAAATAAGCTATTATAAAAAAAGATAATATAAAACGGAATGAATATACATAAAAATGATAAAATTTAAAGGGTAAAAATAATGTTTATATATATAAGGATAAAAGAATAAAAAACACAAAAAAAAAGACGAGGGAAAATAATAATAATAATAATAATGATAATAATAATAATAATAATAATAATAATAATAATAATAATAATGATAATAATAATAATAATAATAATAATAATATTAATAATAATAATAATAATAATAATAATAATAATAATAATAATAATAATAATAATAATAATAATAATAATAATAATAATAATAATAATAATAATAATAATAATAATAATAATAATAATAATAATAATAATAATACGAGATCACTCCTCCACACGAATACCCGCCCTCCACTTTGCTCTCTCGATTCAAGATGTGAAGCAAAAATGAGCGGATCTCCCTTTGGGACTGCATTTTATTTTGATTTTAGTTGGGACTGCATTTTATTTTGCTGCACTATATCCAAGTTTACTACGCTTAACTTTTAAGTGTCATGCACTAATGTTCAGTGCACTTTATTTAAATTGTAAGGCAGGAATTGACTTTCTTCAGTACTTTGTGTTTTATTTTCCTGCACTTTGGTTATTTTGCACAATTGCACGTCATTTCTTTTTTCAGAAAGTATGTGTCTTTTGGTTTAAAACCGAAAAAACCGAAATCGAACCGAACAAAACCGAACCGAATCAACCGTGGTTGGACAAAAAATATGAACAAACCGAACCGAACCGAACCGAAGTTTTTAGTTTGATTCTACATTTGGTTTTAGGTCAAAACCGAACCGCATAAACCGAACCCACCCCTACATGGGTGTGTATCTTTACTTGCATGTATGAGGGGGTTTAGGGTTTATCTAAAATTTGATGGATAACTAAGTGGACTCTGAGTCTTTCATTCGTTTTTAGATTATAACGACAGAAAAATGTTCAAGGGTTTTGCTCTGGTTTAGAAATGTGATTTCTGGAGAAGTCGGACTAATTCAAATAGGAGTTCTGGAAATTTTCATTATGCTTTAATTTTGAACTGATTAACTGAGCCTTCTTGCTTTGTCTGAAATAATCGAGTGAATTGATAGGGTGCAAATCAAGGTTTTGACTAGGAGGTTGTGAAATGAAGAGAGGGACGGAAAGGCCAAGCCATGAAGTGGTTGGGAGTGAAGAAATTAAGGAAGTTGATGAGGTTTCTGGGGCTCCAAAAGATGGCATTACTTCAGAAGAGATGGAATCAGATATGGGGGGTTCTGAAAATTTTTGTGCCAATAACCATCTTACAGGGTTTGAAGAAACTGACCCTGCTAAGGATGGTGCAGTTAATCTGGATTGTGAACATCATACTCGGAAGACAGGGTGGAGAATGCGAGTATCATCAGATGAAGATGATGAAGATGATGTAATAGTTGTGGCTGAAGTTAAAGGGAAGGGAAAACAAGTTGAACAAATGAATACACATGAGGTACATGAAATATCTAGTGATGATGGAATGGAGATGGAATGGGAACCAGAAGTTAAGAACACACCTACATATAGAAGTTTTGTTCCTGGGGTTGGAGAAATGGAGATGAACAGTAGGCTTGGAGGTGGCAATACATGGGGTGGTGCACGGAGATACACTATAGAAGAAAAAGGGAAAGCTAAAGTTGACGGTTCTTCGCAATCACTAGCTGCCAGTAAGCAGACTCAAATGGATGCCATACCTGAGGGACAGGTAATTGGAAGACGAAGAAGAACTTTATGGTACAGACAATTCCATAATCTGGAATCGGAGGAAAGCTCTGAATCTGATTCGGAATCGGAGGAAGATACCATATCTGAGGGACAGGAAAATGGATATCAAAGAAGAACCATATGGCCCAAATATTTCTATAATGTGGAACCGGGGGAAAGCTTTGGATTTCATTTGGAATCGGACCAAGATACCTTTTTAGCAGTTTCAGCCTTAGTAAAACTAGCAAGGGAGGAGGCAGCTAACAAAGCTGCAAGGAAAGTAGGTGTGGTAAGGCGATATGCATATAAAGATAGAGCTCATACAGTTACAAGTGACATGGCACGCCGAATTGCGCGGTCCAATCATCAGGAAGTGGATAACGATCTATCCTCTTCTGGGTTGAAAGAAAAGTCACCACCCATAGAAATGTTTGAAGAGTTAGGAAGCTCTCTTGATCCCTTTTCTACAGCACTGAAGATGGTCAAGGAGCGAGACCTAAAGAAGAAAACGAATTTATCTCATAATCCTGTCCTTAAACTTAATCATTCTACCCCTCGTGTTCCTACACTACTAAGTCTTTCTTTGAAAACTCTTGCACAAAATGCGGGAGCTTTGGTTTCGCTTGAGGGAATCCCTTGTAATCTGAGGAAAAGACTCACTGACTTGTTATGTGATTCGAGGAGAATGAATAAGCATATGCTGAACCTTCTTTTAAAGGGATCCCCGACTGAGATCAGGATAAAAGACTGTTCATGGTTGACAGAGATTGAACTTTCTAAATCATTCCTTGACTTTGATGGGAAAATGTTGATGGTAACTTGTTATTTATTTTCATTTTAACCTTGTTTTAATGTTACTCAAAATTTGATTTGGAAGTGAGAGAGAGAAGAGATTGCATCAAATTTCAATGTTTTAAAAATGTTCTTGTAATTTTATGACCTCGGTTAGATATCATTGATCCTCCTTATATCCCAAATAAACTTCATGCTGTCAATTTAACTTTCTTTCAATCTCTATATTTTTGTGTCAAACTTTTATTTAAAGTCCTTCTAATTCTCTTTTTTCCTTTCCCATTTACCTATTTTTAAAGCTTATTAGTCATTTGACCGGGGGGTGGGGGTGGGGGTGGGGGCAAAGAATGGCATTATTAATTCTAAAGAATTTTCAAAATGTTCTTGCCATGTTATGACCAGTCTTAATGATTATGGATACTCCTTTTGTGCCAAAATATATCTTGAAAGTTACTATTCTTATGGTCAGTTTATCATCCTTTTGATCTCTAAATTTATGTCTCATACCTTTTTCATATTAGGGAGAATTACCTCAATTAATTGTCAGACATCATAAACCCCAACACAAATCAAATATGAAAGAGAGATGGCTTTTAAAAATGTTTATCCTCTTGCCTAGTGCTTAAAGGAGGCCTTAAGTCCTTAACCTTCTGAACAATTTCCCGAAACAGGTTCTTCAGCTTGACCTTTGTGGGCAGGGCATGACTGATCATGTGTTGGCTAGAACCTTTGCTAGATCTTCTATTGGTTTTCCGAATTTGAGAATTCTATCTATAAAGGGTGCATGCCGTATAACGGATAGTGCATTAACATCAATTGTAGCTTCAGCGCCATTTCTGCAGTCAATTAATTTGGGACAGTGCTCTCTTCTTACACACATGTGTATTGAAATTATATCGAATTCACTGGGTGGACTTCTTAAGGAGCTTTACATCAATGAATGCCTAATGATAGATGTTATGAGTGCTATCCCTGCTTTAAAAAAATTGAAATGTTTGGAAGTGTTGTCAGTTGCTAGAATTCAGACCGTATGTGACAAGTTTGTTTCTGAAATTATGGAGGGATTTGGTCAAAATCTGAAGGAGCTTGATCTCTTTGACTGCGAGTAAGTTCATAATCTGGTCTGGTTAAGAGCTTGTTTAGTTTCACAATTTTTAGGGAATGGTAGGCGAGGTTTGGGACTAAGGCTTGGATGTTGTTGTTGTTGTTGTTGTGGGAGGCGAGGTTTGATTCTTATTATCTGAAATTCTGAATATATGTCCATTGTTAGTTTGTTTTACTAGAAATGATGATATGATTATTTTGATCACGTTCTCTATATTTTGTTATCTTTATTTTCAGTTGAATAATCTAAATGTAAAAATAATTTTAAAAAATAGTATTACTCCTCCCAAATCCGAGAACCAGACAAGCCCTAAACGACTTCTTCAACACCAATCTCTTCTTTCTTTGTATCATAACCAAGCTATTCCACTTTTGCTGCTGCAGCAACTTGACTGACTCTTCTATGAAGGCTATAGGAGATGCATGTGCAAATTTGCGCTCATTAAATATTTCAAACCTACAGAAATTGACAGATAGAGGAATACAGTTTCTCACTAATGGTTGTAGATCAATTCAAAGGCTCTATCTTCAACGCAATGATTTTAGGTCAGTTCTTGTACAGCCTGTGGATTCATCTTCAGAACTTGTGCATTAGCAGCCATTATTCTGTTTCTATAAGTCATTGATTCCTATGATGTGGTTGTCTTTTAATCTGCTACGGAGTCTGAATTTATTTCATTCAAATCTGCATAGTACATTAGAATTGAGTGATTCCTTGTTATAAATGAAGCCCAGTTTAACTTGTGCTGAATGTTCTATTACCATTTTGTGGCATATCTGTTTATGATCAGCTCATGCCTTACTGAATGTTACATTAGTCTCTTATGTTTACTGTTTGATATTTAAATGCAAGACTCATTTTATGTTGCAAATGTTGATTTTCGTCTTTTAATCTTAGCGTTTTCATTACATTCTAAGTGATGAGGCTCTTGCTGCGTACATTGAAGCTTCTGGACAGTGTCTGAAGGAACTTTCCCTTAATAATTGCTCCAAGGTAAACCTCTGGATTCCCAAATGGTGCAGTTTTGTTTTGTAAACTGATGTTGTCTGTTTATTGAATTAATTACTCCCATTTTCATGGCAGAGTTTTTTTTTTTGAGATTTTGTAGGTAAACCTCAACACTGCATTGTCACTTGCCAAATGTGCAAGAGAGTTGGTATTTTTGGACTTATCTTGGTGTCGTAGAATAAGTGATGAGGCTCTAGGGCTGATTTTAGACAGCTGCCCCCTGAAGCTGGTCAAACTATTCGGCTGCACACAGGTCAGCTTTACCAGAAGATGTTTTTGAACAAACTGATGCACCTATAATCCTAAAAAACTAAAATTGACCGCATAGTTGTCTCTCTAACAGATCACAGCTTCATACGTGAACGGTCACCCAAACTCGACAGTGCAAATTGTTGGGTTGAATTTAGCACCCATAATGGACAACATTGACCAACTTGAACCACCGGATGTTTTACTGCGCTATTCACCTCTCATGCCATTTCCTGGTCAGAGCATTTGATCAAGCCTATTGTCATATGTTGGATTGATTGAAAAGATAAAGCTATTTTTCCTTGGGCTTGCTTCTTTTGGTCGTACATAACATACATAGTTAGTTGTATAGCTGCGATCCTGGGAGAATGTATATCCTGCACTATTTTCATTTGAGTAGAAATTTTAGGATCAAAGTATTGATTGATCATATTGTTGATTGTGTATGCTATAGCTTTTGGGACAGAGATGCAGTTCACAGCCCCCTTCCTGCTAAGGCACAGAAGCATTACATACAGTTGAGAGAACTCTTGGAAGTGGAAAGGCTTATAATCAAGTAATACAATACTCGGACTACATTGAATTCATAGATTTAACTAGTATTAATGTATTTGTTTCTTTCAACTCCTAGAGTCCTAGATGGCTACATGCATCTCATTTTAGAAAATAAATTAATGTCATTTGCATAAGTCTATTAGGAAACTTTAAATTCGCTATTTTATAGTTTTTTGGAGGTTAATATGGTACGGAGAATTTGACTTTGCACCTTACTCCAATTCATACTTTTTGGGCCCAAGGGTCCACACATTAATGGTTTTTAAAATAAGTATAAATGATCTTCTAGAAACTAAAAGTACCTTTTTAATGACATGACAAAGAATTAGAGGAGTTAGGATTGTTTTGTTATCAAACAGAGGTTGATGTGATCGGTGATGAGATTAAAAAGAAAAGTAGCATCAATTATGGATATGAAAAACAAATAAAATCTGTAGGGATGTAAATCAAGAAATGCCATATTTACAATGACTAAAAACATATTTAAATAAAATTTACTAATTTTATATTTTCATATTTACAAAACTACGTAGCTTTTAATTTTCATAAAGGGGCTCAAACTGTATTTTTCTACAATTATACTTTCAATGATAACAATGTTTAAGAAAAAACTTGTTTGAATATCATATTTTTATATTTTTGCTAGTTTTAAGGTGAGAAACAAGAAAGATGATCTCATTTCTGCAGATTATTTATTGGCTAGAAAGTAGTACTTCACATTATTCTAAATTCATCAAATTACGAGTCAAAACATATGAATTATAGAACTATAAAGGTGAAACTGACACATACAACTATATGCTCCGTATAATTTTCCCAATAGTAAAATTAAGGGAAAATGGAAAATAATAACTTTTTAACAGTCTTCTTACAATAGTTCCACATTTTCGTTATTCAAGAACAATCCCACCTTAGCTAAAGCGCATGTTAGTTCACCAGATCATGTTATGGAGTATGTGGCGGTTCCGGATTTTATTTATAGCCGTTTGGCGCACGATATTTTGATTTAATATAATGAGTATTTGACGATAATACTAAAAAAAAAGAATAATCCCATCTTTGCACCATATTTTCATTCACTGGTCCCTGACCGGTTAATGACCTGCTATTCCAAGTTATTTTCTTATCTTTGCAAAATATCATCTTTGTGAAATGTGAGTTTTATGGTATAATGTTTTGCAAAGATAAGAAAATAACCTGAAATAGCAGGTCATCAACCGGTCAGGGACCAGTGAACAAGATGAAATTTTGTTAAATAATAATAATTTATTTAACTGACATCTAATTGAATTTTCAACTGAAATTTTGTGGACATAATCTATACTCCAAAGAGAACATGCACATAGTTTAAAAAAAAATCCACCCAAAAGAACCTCAAGAAATTCAACCTGAAAAATTATTAGTTTAGGACCTGGAAAATAGTCTACTCACACTTATTATAATGAACTAAAGTTGGATCTAATTGTTTTTCAATTTTTTGGGCCTAGGGCCGCCCCTGAAAACATTGATAATATGAATAAACTTGTTATTTCACAAATTAGTAACAATGTTATTTTATACTACCGCCTAAGTTTGGGACAAGAGAAAGTGAAACGGTTATTAATAAAAATAGGTTTATGTGGTTGATATTGAATTGATAAAGTAAGAATAAAGTAAGAATGTTTTAGACCACACAGATTTTACCAAATAAGGTATGAGACAATCATAGTGAGACAGACCGAAAAAGTAAAATGGGACAATCATAGCGGGACGGAGGGAGTATTATTTTTTGAGATCTTGTCAGAGATATTTTTAAATATAAATTAGTATACAAGATTAATTTTGTAAGATCTGATTTAAGTTCATGCTAAGTCATGAATAAAAATAAAGTTAAATAATTAATAAATATATTACAATAATATAAAAAGTATTGATATTGATATAAGTTTGTAAGTTTGGAAAATTAAAGCAGACAAGTAAAATTGGCAAAAAACATTATGTCTGTGTCTTTTGTTGATACAAGATAAAGTGTGGATGAAGTTGTAAATAAGCTACTACGTAAAAAATTAATCAATGGCAATAGTTTAATTTAATTTATTAATAGTAATAAAAAAGATAATTATAAATACATATTCTATAATAAAAACAACTACTAAATAAACTTAATAATATAGTCCTAATAACTAGATATTACAAAAAGTTGTATTGTATTCAACTTAGATCGGTAAATAATGTGACTTGCAATATTGAGGATGGGAGTGATCGAGAAGTGATTGGTGGTTGGTGTGTAGCATATAATGTGCACACAACTATTTTTTACCCAAGGAAGTAGGGTGTCGAACCACAGAGAAGCGGTAAATAAAATAATTAAGCACAAACTAATGATTTAAGTTGGGAGTGCGTTTCTTTTGATTTTTTTGGTTGCTTGGAAAAGTAATAAAATAAAAGTGATTGAGATGAGAGATTTTTATCAACACAAAGTTCAACCAATAGCAAGTAGGGGTGAGAAGTTGTTCAATATTTAATTGAGAGACATAATTGCTAATTTTATTCTTAGATAGATTGTGAGAAGTTGTAGATAAATATTTTAGGACCCAACACAAGTCATCTAAAATAAGTAACTAGTCAACATTTCCCAGTGATGGCCAAAATGAGACTGGTTGTTTAAGTGCAACGACAACCTTAATTATTAACTATATTATTTACCCAACCCCGTGGTGTAAATAATATAATTAAATAATTAAATTCTCCCGTAAAAATTCAATCCGGGACAAAGTAAAAGAAGTTTAACAGTGTGTTCAGAAAGTGTTCATTTGTGTATTTAACAAACAATATGTTTATGATTGAGTACTCATAATATATATATATCACAAACATAACTTAATTAATTTTCTGGACACAACAATCTAAATAGAACAAACTTAACAATTAAAATCAATACAAATTAAAACATGATAAGAACAATTAATTAACCAATTTCTAGCCCCAAATTTATTTAGCTATACATGTTTGGAAGCATAGAAATAGATGAATCCATAATTAAAGTACAAGATTTAATGAGATAAGGAAGATCAAACTTGTGATAACTGACAATCCTTGAAGCTTTGGTGCTAATATTGACTTAATCTTGGATAAGGAAGTGATTAGTTGTGGTTGAAGATGGGTTGATGATTTGAAGGTGAAGAATGAAGAGAGAAGGAGAAAATGATTCTGGGAGGTGTAGAGAGAAGTTGGCTCGAGATTATGTGTGGAAGGAGATGGATTAAGCCTTATAATGATAAGATGATTAATCATTAATGGCTGGAATTTACGGAAACGATGAGTTTATATACCAAAAGACGTATAAAGGAAATCAACAAGTGACTTTGGCGCAGCGGGAGCTGATGCCGTGACATTTCATGGCCTCGGAGGTCGTGGGTTCGAACCCGTGCTTAGACTTCTTTATTTTCTTCTTTTCCTTGCTGAGATGAGATGTAATTAAATAAATCTTCAGCTCATTTATCTCAACTTTGACGTTCAGCTCACTGGTTCAGGAGCCCTCATTTTACCTTGGCAGCTTGGGTTCGAATCTAACTTCCACTTTTTTCACTTTTTGCTTCCTTTCTTCAATGTACTCCATATTTGCTTTGAAGGAGATTCCACTTTTGTTGTCTTCCAACTTGAACTTTTATTTTCTTCTCTTGTTCACACTCAAATGTATCCAAATAGCATCAAAAGTACCTGAAAATATAAAATACCCGTATAGAATTGCACTAACACAAACTAACATCAAATAATAAAAATATGTACAAAGATACAACTTTATTAACTAAAATTATTAACAAACTAAGCCTAAAAAGTGTGTAAAATATAAGCATATCACTGGTTGATGGAATGATGATTGGTGATGATGGCATTGTGACTTTAGATTAACATTTGGCTATACAAATGTAGTTAACATTTGGCTATACAAATTTGCTAGGTGTATACAAAGACTTACTACCTTCATGGCTTCATCCTTGAATTATCTTCCAAATAAGGTTTTACACGAGGACTAAAAAAGTGAGAATCGTGTGGTAGAAAATGTGCAAATGAGGGAAAAATGTATAAGAATATGTAAGAAGTGATGGAACCGCATATTCTTTGATAAAAAAGGAAAGAGAAGATTATTTTGAGATGAACGAAAAAAGAAAGTTGAAAGATAATTCACGGTCAGAGGGAGTATATCTTTTGTATACAAATATCGATCACAGACAAGTGATGCACTGACACACAAAGCTGCATGTGCAGTGGGCTGGGCACATGTAAGGCAAGAGTTCTATATTCACACACAACTCTGATCTATGTCCACGAACCTTAATTTCCGTGCAAAAAAGGTACGCTAAAAGACGCCTAACACTAGCGTGCAAACCAATCTCATTGTGTACATTGCATGTGTGCACAAATAATAATTGTATGCGCATAGACTATTGTTTTATGTGAACAAAGTGTGGATTTTTAGATAGATTTTATCAAACACAACAGTTGTGCGCTTGAAATTAAATGACATGAAGTGACTAATGATATGTAATGACTGGGGAATGATATAGAATATGTTATATGACGAATTGGATGGTAAAGGAAACAAATATCAGTATGGGGAAATAAGATTGAAGGTAGTCCTCATCGACCTCATTTGAGAAGCATTTCCATTTGAATGACTTATTTCTGCGTATTTCAGTTGGGATAATTATTTCTTTCATGATAGTGACGTAATTGAGAAAACCACGTGAAGTTGGCAATATAATGAACTATGCAAGGCTGTTCCAAATGTTAGGAGGGTCATGTGTTAATTACAATAATTAGATCTTTTGCAATAAAACATTACACAATTTTGAATAGGAAATACATTTTAATCATAAATAAAATATCATTGTTTATATTATATAGATTATATGTTTAAAATTTCGGGCATTCAAAATTGGGAGGCCTGGCCTTGTGTTGTAAGCCTATAACACTTTTTGCACACCCTAATAGACGATCCTGCAACTATGTATATATTAGCGTTCATAATTTCAGTATTTTTGTTCAATTCTATTGGGTAATATTTGCTTGGACGTTGAGCTTTAAACTATCCAGAGAAATAGTCAAAATGAGGAAAGGTAACGTAATTTGATCTTAAGAGAGAACGTTTGATAATTTTTTGAATCATAAGTTAACCTACAAGTAAAATAAATACATTTAACAAATTAGCATATATTCAATCCAAACAGTTTTTTAGTTCAATCATATGGATTAACCTATTATGATGATTATGCATTTTTATATAGGCATCATCATTTACCTCACAAGATTTTACCCAGTTTAAGTTTAGGTATGTTCCTCAAGTTAATGCTCACTCAATTTTTTTTACTTAGGTGTATTTTTTTACATAAGAAATGGCAAGATTCCTGAAATAAAACTAAAACAGTTTGAAAATTCCAAAATAGGACTGTCATGTTTTTTCCCCCAAAATAGAAGTAATTACTGCCAATTTTGTAAAATACTGCCATGTTTGAAGTCTGGTACTGCCAAAACATTGACAGTAATTAGTCCTATTTTGGGAATAAAAACATGACAGTCCTATTTTGGAATTCTCAAACTATTTTAGTCCTATTTCGATTAATATTCTCATAAGAAATTTAATTCATATCGTTACTAATAAAATGTTGAATAGAATCTGAGAGATGAAAAATTTCCTCACGGGGAGAATACCAAGGTTGTCGTCTAGTTAATATAATTGAATAATTATCTTGATTTTGTAAGATGATTTTGGATTCTTCGATCAAAGAGCAATACTCGGATATGATGAATATCTTTTATTCATTCGAGTAGATTTAAGAATTCTTGTTTTCAATTCATCCCAAATTCAACCTTCATGTGTCCCATTTCTTCTGTCCAAACTAGAACTTGTAATGGTCTCCACATTTCCGCCTCATCTGGATTTGTTCTTACTTGAAGCCAAAATGTTCTCACGTAAGTAGAGATATGTTGTCATAAATTGACCCCGTACTTAGGTGTAGCAGTGAATGTGCATGTATCAAAAGACTAGCAAACAACAAAATCACTTGATCATCACACCTTGTTAATCGCAATGGTGTTTTTGCATGTGTGTTTATTGTTAACATCCACTACTAAAAAAACACGGGATTGACAAGAATTTTGACAGAGATTTTGGCACGAATTATGTCAAATCCGTGCCAAAAAACTTTGGCACGAGCTATTTGGCACGAAAAATCAGTAATCCGTGCCAGATTTCCGTGCCAATCTCGTGTTTTTTTTGTAGTGATCGTTTGATTTTAGGCGATTCAAAAAATATTTTCATGATAAGGAATTATAATTACAATAATTATTATAACAAGTCACGATAAGTATATTATTATTCATAATGACATTCATGGGATGTTATTAGTTTTACGTAGTACCGAGTAATATTTTTCCGGCTAAAGGATCAAATAGGTACATGAACTAACTTAAAGTGTTCAATTACCCCCTTATATAGGAGGTTCTGCCCGGCTGTCGCCAATTGGGGCTGTTCCCAGTTGAATTTCTTGATGAAATTTTTTGATCATCTTCTTCGTTAAGTCTAGTTTACCCATATCAAATTTCAGCTAAAAATTAAATCGGGAAGGAAGTCAAATGATTTTCCGAAATGTACTGCGTTGTGTAACTGCGCAGTTATCTTCAAAAAATCATTTGACTGCCTTCCCGGTTGAATTTTTAGCTGAAATTTGGTATGGGTAAACTAGACTTAATGAAGAAGATGATCAAAAAATTTCATCAAAAAATTCCACCGGGAACCGCCTCAATTGGCGACGGCCGGGCAGAACCTCCTATATAAGGGGCTAATTGAACACTTTAAGTTAGTTCATGTACCTATTTGACCCTTTAGCCTATTTTTCCTACCACTCCAAATTTCTTTTACATTTTTATTTTTCCAATTCAAAATATTTATTTTTTACTTTTTTGAATATTAACATGTTATTTACATTTATGTTTCGTCCAATAACAACAAAAATGACTTTTAACTATTGCTTCCCCCTTTAAACATTGACCTATATCATTTTATATGAAGTTTATCAATAAATTTTTCAAAACTACTTGAATTTTATATTTATTCCTTGATTTAGTACAAAAATGCCAAAATTTCTTGTTGATATTTGAAATATCTGACTTTATATGAGTATAATTAGATTTATGTCATACATTTGCATAAAAAAAACAAGTATCCTTTTAAAAAATAAATAACCTACTTCTAACTCTGATTTGAAAAGAGAAAAACAGTTAGTAACTTATATATATACTCCGTATCTTGAGTTCATGTGAGACAACCCAATCTTTTTCTAGCATATAAGCACAGTCTATCTTAAATAATTTAAGCCCTACCCAATCATAGAAATAATTATGTCCTAATTCTTTAATGGCTGAACAACATGTGAAACATCATGAGGCACTAGAGTTGGTAACACCGTTCTCTTAATTACAACCTTGAAAAGGTCTTTTAGTACTTGAACAGCAACAAGGACTGGGCGGGGGTGCAATTTGAACTGATGCATATGATGTTGGAAAATTGAGTGTATTTCAAACGAACAAAACTTTACTTTTAGGTTGTTATAAGAATTCATCCTTGCACCCATAGCTTATCCAAGCTCCCATAGGAGGTGTGCATAAGCGAAGACCGTCTCGCTTATGTTTATGTAACTCTAATAATTTTGGGCAGCAAGGGACAAACTATATGTTTAAAACAAAAGGGTCAATTCATATGGAGAAATTGTCGGTCAGATGTACGAAAGATTACGGTTCGTGAATTCTTATAAATTAGGGTCAATTCTTAAGAATGATCAAATAAATCTTATATTATATTATTGTTTAAAACACATCTTAATGTAACAAATTACGGTTCGTGAAATAAAAAATAAACTAAAAATGCATTAATGCTTGAATAATAATTAATATTGCATTACCTTTTCGTAATGTAATACGAGTACCTAGTAAATAATAAGGTCAGAAACTGAAAATGTTGCATTTATTATGAATTAGGAATGGGGAGGGGGTGTATTATAAAATACTTTTTCCCTAAAATGTTTGCTACAATTTTTTTTTGAGATGCATTTTAATTTTTACTAAACTAGATTTTTCACCTGTCCTTCGTACGTGATGCAGTTAGTAAGCAAAAAATATTTGTGGATTTACAGAAATGTTGTGATAAAGATAGAACAACTAATATACTATT